TTTACAGCAAGTGCTTCCAAGCTTTTCATGGGTACTCACTGTACATATTTCAGCTGTAATATGCATAGATATTAAAGTTCAAGCTGTAAGACAACCTCTCACAAGGCTTCAGGCTTTATCTTCTATAACCACCAGGTGAAAGAGCACACGTTCTATTAGGACAGCAGCGAGACAGGTTCCAAGCATGAAGACATTGAAAGAACCAGAGCTACTGTACTGGAAATCAGGCAGTGCAGAAGGATGGATAGGAGTGCGAGAGCTCCCTCTGCTCCTATATTCTGTTCCGATTTCCAGCAAAAAACCCTGGAGCAAATTGTAATTTCTAGAGCTTCTCTTACATGTGAGAAGCTCACATGGCTTGGTTTGCAAGCTGTTGTGCCATTGCTTGGTACGTGTCAGCCCAGAGCTAGCTTAATGTCATTTGTGAACCTCTGGGAGGAAAGATGTCACTGATGGCAATATTCCCCTGCACAGTGCCCACTGCTAACCCACAGAGAGAATTTGTCCTAGGGCTTGAGAGCCATACTGGTGTTCCTGGCACCTGAATTTCTACGTCTGTCCAGCATTTCTACCACCAAAATAAACAGTGAAACAACAGTGTGAGTCTGGCAAAGGCTATTCACTCCTTCCTCCTCTGCAGGCCACCGTTTGAAGCTGTTGTAGATTATTTACTCCAATCAGTTGCTGCTGCTCTGACTTACTGTTATTTCTATTGCCAGTGTAAGAGGTGATCTATCAGCAGTGCAACTAGTTGTTTTCATGAAGCAGGAGCAGAGAATCATGCATATGAGTCCAGGGCACTGGGGAACACTATGTCTACATTTAGAGGCATGCCACAGCCAGAGCTGCAGAGGCATCAGTACCGCCATAGGTACCACTCTTACTGTGGTACTCACCCAACACTGTGCTCCAGAGGGGCCTGTCAGCAGGCACAGCAACAGCGCTGTGCATAGCTAAGCTCTCTCAGCTGCATCTTGTAGGCAACAATAAAATGGATGTAGAGCACATGACTTCAGAAGAACAAATAGCAAAAATAAATAAGCATCTTTCTCCCCTGTGATGCTGTTGCAGGTCCTGCCTCAAGGCTGCAAAGAAACAGCTCACTGAGCAGAGGGTTGCAAAGGCTTAGATGTTGTATTAAACTCCCCAACCCAACCACAGGAGGAATCCTGGGTCTGACTTTTAGCTCCTTTTCAAAATTACATGTTTATACCCAGTTTATGACATCTTCACTTAGGATCTGGTCCAGCATCTCTGAAGTTATCTTCAGCTCAATCTAAATTAGCTGATCCTCTGATTTCTGCGGTTTCTCCCATTCTTCCCTCTCGCTAGTCCTAGCACTTCTTCCCTGAAACAGCACAGCTCAGCCTGTCAAGTCAGCATAGCTACCCTATACCTACTCCCCAACCCCAGTGAATGTCACCTCATTTGTCAAGTCCTTCTCTGCCCGTGTTTGACTCTCTCCAGACGCAAGAACCCGGCAGATATACCCAGTTTCCTGTTCCCCAGGCCCCTCTGATAGCATTTCCTTTCTGCACACCGATTACAAGCTATAAGCCTGCTGCAGCCCTGTCCAGCCCAGCTCCAGTCCCCATGGGTCAGCTGGCCACGGCAGTGCGGTGGCACAGCAAGCAAGGAAAAACCTCCCCAGCATCCAAGAACACCCTGGGGTACCACACACATCTTATCCTGACCCAGCTCAGCACCATGCAGTAACTCAGGATCCTGCTCTGGGTGGCAGCCATCTTCCAGGCAAGAGGAAGATTCACGGGATAGGACCACAATCCATGGGTCTGTTTAGCAGCCAGATCTCTGTGCATGCATGGATATTCTGGGAAGCTGCTCTGGAAGCAAACAGACCAAGGTCCTTGTGGCTGTTAAAAATCTCATGATACTTTTGCAAGAGGGATGGTGTAAATCAAGCCACAAGGCACAAGCTACTTAACTCTGGGTAATTTATATTCTGCCTCACTAAGTTCATCTCTGCACTTTCAATGCATGAAGTGATTTTTCACTTCCCCTGTAGTATTGGCTGGCACGGAAAAGCTGCTGGGCTCTGTCCCAGAAGTAGCTGCATTTCATCACCGGGTAAAAGATTCCTGCGTGCACCAGGCCAGATCCTCAGCACTCCCGCACGCCCCAGAGGGCCGGGAAGGATCTGGCCCGGACCATTCAGCTGCACCTGGGCCCCTGGGAGAAGAGAGCCCCGTTGTTACGCACCGCTCCCCCCCGTACTATTATTATCTTCGGCGCTTGGCTCCAGCGCCACGGGGCCGGGGGGGAGTCGGTCCCGCTCCGCGCCGCTGCGCGCCCGGCGCTGCATGGAGCCACAGTGCCCCCTACTGGGCCAGGGAGGTGCCGCCCGCCTCCCTCCGCGGGAGCGCAGCGCTGTGCGGTGGAGGAGGAAAGGGGGGTGGTGGTGGTGGTGCCGAAATCCCTCCCTTACTCCCTATCCACGAACGTGGTGCTTTGGGCTCTGCTGGCGCTCTCCATCCTCGCTTCCCATCTTCAGCCGTTTATTCCCCCCCCCCCCGAAGTAAATTTTCCCTGCCTTCCCTGCGTCAGCTGGATCGAGGGTGTAGGCTGGGAGCCTTGGATAAACTCTGGAAACACACATCCATGCCTGGAGGCAGGCACGGCTGCGCGGGTCTGGGCTGGAGCCAGTTTCTGCAGCGCCTTCCCGAGCAGCGCTCCCCAGGCAGGCAGAGGGGCTTCTGCCGGAGCGAGGACGGGAGGATTTGGCTTTGAACCATTTCTGTTATGCAGACGGCAGTGAGGATTGTCTCCTGGCAGACCCGTCCTCACTTAAGGTTCAGTATCAGCCTTACACATACTCTTAATATAGTAAACAGCAGAGGTGAGAAGGGAACACAGTGCACCCTCCACCACCTCTTTTGGGATACCCTCTTCCTACAGCAAGCCCATTCCCCACACATTCTTCCTCTGAAGTTTTAACGCAGACTTCAGCCTCATTCTATCCTTGCACAGCCTCCTCACTAGGCCCCATAGAAAGAGAGGAAGAAGAGGAAGGTCAGAGCAGGGTGTTACTTAAATACATCTAACACCAGTGACAACAACCCCCTGCACATATGATGCTGTTTCTGACCAAAGGGGCTTGCAAAGGCTCGGGGGTGTTGGCACTCAGAGGATGGGAGGGTTTTGCTCTGAAGCAGAGTAAGACTGAAGCAGAGCCTAGCACTGTATGTTTTAAGCTATAGACGCATATGTGGTTTTGCTCACACACAGAGAGAAGCAGTGTGGCTCCAGCAGAGCCCTTCCCATACTCACAGACCCCAGCTCTTGATCAGAGAGGGTGTGATGGATTTGGGATTGCCACCGCTGCCCCCAGTCCCTGCCTGCCACTCGCCTGCCTTTCGAGTAGTAAAATCATCACTGAGTCCTGGGAACATGCAAAGAGCCATAAAACAGACGAAGACACACAAAACGTAGCAGCTTTTTCTGCTGAGTTGCAAAGAGCCTGAGAGTCAAGCAAACCCTGAATCAATGCCTGGAACTGGCTATGAGGGAGAGGATGATGCTGGGGAACAAACCACACACTGAGAGACCTGCACAGGAGACAGCGCGTGTATGCTCATACGAGCATCTGAATGTTTGATTCACATCATAAGAATATCAATGTGGTTATTTCTGCATGCTACAGTGTGTTCCTGTGTAGGTCAAATATGTGTCTGAGTGTGGGGAACTGCAGAGCTTGAACAGGTCCTCGAATCGGTGAAAGAACGAGACCAAGATGCTGCGCTGAAGCGTGGGGGGGGACTTGCGCGAGTTCGGCAGCGTGTGTCCTGTGTGCTTAGCGTGTACATGCCTGCCAGGGACAGCGCGACTGCTTGTCCGTGTGGTGTGTGGGAGGGGGAGAGAGCCCGGGTTTGTCTGTCTGTCACTCACACACAGATCTGATCAATCTTTTTCCTTTATAAGGAATTGAAAAAAATATATAACCCTTTCATATTTCTTACACCAAAGCCTCGTCTCCCCTTCACTCACTACCTCCTGCTCACCATTCCCAAAACACTTCTCTGCAACTCTTAAGAAAGCAGCTTTACTGCCGTTAACGAATTAATATGCACCCAGATGAGCAGCCAGGGTAAAGCATGAAAGACCCTCCTGTCCTACCTAGTGCAGATGTCAATCATAAGGCTAAATCCATGCATCAAGACTCCTAGCACTTGCTTCTCTCCATGAAGACTGCATTTGGGAAGTGACAACCCCTCCCCTTCCCTACTCGCAAGTAAATGCACGGGAGGACTCTTCAAAGCCACACACTCACACCGGCAGCCTCCCCTCTCCGGATCATAATAGCCGGGCTACGCTGGCCCCCGGGGATGATGCAATGGCGTGGAGGTGCCCTCCGGGCTCCCCATTCCCCCGCGGACTGGAAAAGGCAAAGTTACGCTCCGCACCAGCCTCATAAGCAGCTGAGCCGGAGAGCACCAACCCCCTGCGCTGTGAGATGCAGCCCCAGGCATCGCTCCCCCCCCACCCCCGGCATCTCTTCCTCCCCCCTGAAAGTAGAGGCGAGCCGCCCAGTGTGGGATCCAAGGCGCCAGACTTCCCTTTTCGTGCGCGATTTGCTTTTGTCACTCGCGAAACCCGAGCAGCGGATTAAGCAGCGATGACACCATCTCCTTGGGGAGGGTCCCTGTGTCCCCCCCAGCCGCTCCGGGCTGTATCGATACTCCGAAATACAGATGGATCCTGGCTGCCTCTCACCCCCACTCGCGGCCAGCCCCCAGGGGCTGCGCCTTTCCCGGTAGGAACCAGTGCTCCCAGTGTTCCCGGTACCGGCGAATCTTGGCCCCGCGCTCCCGCACACACTCGCTAACCGGGCTGCAGGACTTGTGCATCCCTCCGCCCGGTAACTCCCCGCTGCCGGGGGCCCGGGGGAACCGAGGGGCCGTTACACAACGCGGCCGAGCAGGACCAGGGAGCCCGTCGGGAACGGTGCCGGTGCTGGGCTGCAGCCGCAGCGCTCGCCTTACCTGATGCTAATGTCCCTCTCTGGCGGAGATCTGATCGCCCGTGGGTTTTATTCGGCTCGGTAGGAACTTGTGGGAGAGCTTCTGTGTCCAGCTCGCATACTGGGTGCTGGGCTGATAATGCAGGCGTGAAAATCCTGGGGCTCTAGCAGTCCTTTTCATGCTCAGACAGAAAATCCCCTTCCTTGATCCAGATCGCGGGCATTAAGGGCAGAGGCAAAAAAAAAATTAAAAATAAATCCTTTTCTTCCCCCTCTTTCCCTTGTTTTGTTTTGTTTTTTTTTTCCTTCCCCCTTCCCTTATTCCCGCGCCCCCCCCTCTCTTCTGCTGCTCAGTTCGTAGCCATCGGGGGAAGGAGCAGAGGCAGCAGGGAGAATGGAGAGGGGGTTAGAAATAAAAATGAAAAGGGCTCCAGGAGGGAAGAGAGAGGCTGGGCTTGCTGCCGGGGGAGGGGCTTGGAGCGGTCTGGAGAGGATGAATGGGGAAGAGGGAAGCAGGGAGGAGCCCCAGCCTGGCCATCTTATTCTAAGTGCTTTGTACATAATTAGGGGAGGGGCGGGATGGGGAGCAAAAAGGAGGGACTTAAGCTCCGGCCAGACAGAGCCTGAGCCGCGGAAAGGGAGGATGACACCGGGAAGGGCCGCTGGACGGGGATCTAAACTTGTCTGCCCCTCGGATTTGGGGAGGGGACTGGTTGGATTCTAGGCAGCTCCTTCCATGTAATATTTATTTCTCCCTCTTCGCCTTCGATTTTCCCCTCATGGATCCCGATCCGCCGAGCAGGGAGCTGCGGGGAAACGAGGTGTCCCCGTCTCCTCCTCGCCTGGGGGGGTCTCACCTCCCTCAGCGGTAGGGAGAAGGAGCTGCCGCCTCTTCCCCCACAGCCCCGAGCAGCGCAGTGCGGTTGTGGTTCAGCACCGCGGACAGCGGCGGCCCGGCGGGGCGGTGACGGGCGCAGCGGGCAGGGAGCGGAGCAGGGAGGGGACGGGCGATCCCCGGAGCCTCCTGTCCCGACTGCTCGGCTGGGTCTGCACGGCAGGGGTGGGAAAAGCCCCCCAGGGAAGGTTTGAGATAGGGAATGGAGGTGGGGATGCCTCAAGGACACGGCCCACCCAGGCGAACCTCAGCAGCTCAGTAAAGGCCACCCAGCGTAGGCAGAGCACTTCACAGCTCCTGCCACTGTGTGAGGCTTCAAGCCAAGGACCCCTCGGACAAGTCAGGCACTGGCTGTGCTGACAGGGAAAAAAATCCACCACCTTCTTCAGGGGTGGCAAGGAGGGCAACAGGAGGCACCCTTCCTTTCATCTCCATTCCCTGGCCTGCAAGGACACTACGTCCTTCTCTCTGCAACTACAGAGCATTGTCTTATGCTAAATCTTCAGCAAATCTTTCCAAAGAAGAATTAGAAGTTTGGTCAGACTCCAAGCTATACCAACAGGGCTGTAGCTTAGTTTATTGCAGTTACAGTATACCCAAAGTAGTTTTACTTTTTTCCAAGTGACTAGTCAGCCGCAAAGCACCTTTGCTGGTAAAGCCACCCCTGATTCTGTCACACGGGCTTAAATGAAAGGCTGAAGTGATTCTCATAGATTCCCCTGGTACAAGGCCACAAAGGAACGGCGTACACCATGGCAGAGAAGATTGAAGGATCAGATCTTATGCAAAACACAAACAAGCACTTTTCACTTGTTTAAACATATAAATGGTGTTTGGGGTTATCACTAGTGTGTTGCTTCATTAGTGCTTGTGGCATTTGCCAAAAATGGAAGAGGAATCTTTCCATCCTATATGAGGCTGGCTGAAATCAAAGCAAAGGCTCCATGAGCAAGCTCTGGACTTAGCCAGGATTTATTGATTCAACTAATGCGACTGTACTGGGTGTCTTTCCTCACTACATCCAAGAAGGCCCTTGTGTGATCGGGTCCAGCAGGACTTAGCACCACCCAGCCTGATATTTCATACTCCCTATGAAGAGGGAATGAGAGAAAACGGGTGATATGATGCTCTTCAGGCACCCAAAGGTTTCATGACCCTAGAAAACTCAAATATTCTCTACAAAGTAACACCTTCTTCTTGTTCAGAGTCAACAAACTTTAGGACCAGTGTCTTGCCTGGAAATAATAGTTGCTATCAATATAAAAATACAAGGGGAAAACACAAAAAAAAGCAAAGAGTAGTTCTGCTCATCATTTTCCTGTCCCAGGATGTTTTCTCTCTATTCCCCCATTTCATACATACACTATCGCTTCCTCTCCCAACAGTTTTTACTGTCTCTGTATCAAAAGAGGATTATTTGGTGCATTGAGTATTCAACATGTTCTTTTACAGTATTGTTGTGTTCAATGAGCTTTGCTCATCTGAATGGACACTCACTGCATAGTCCACTGGTTTAATTTGCTGCTTTGGAAACCTAAGCAGGTTACAGCATATTTAACTGTGTGTCTGTTCTTATGTGTCAAAGATAAGGTTTCTGGATGTCATTTTAAAAAACAAAATTATTTCACTTCAGTAATTTTCTCTTTTCAGTGGTTTCTCTTTAGTCTTGGGTATTGCAACTCTCCTTCTCCCTGCAATGAAGAAAACCTGGATCTTCAGCCCAAATCAGCAAAGCTCCATTGAACAAGAATTTCTATTTCTTCTTCCAGTAAGGACTTTAAGCTATTAACAGTTTTAGCATGTCAAATCCTCACTATCTTTTCCTCTTCTTTCAACAGTTGTCTTAAAAGCAATGCTTCGATTTTTCCAAGCTATAATATTCTTCCCATGAAATAAATAGAAGCTAGTCAATCACAGGAAGATACGAAGAACAGAAAATCACAATGCACGTGGTATAAAAAGAGTCTACCAATTGCAAGCATGAGGCCCCCCAATATTATGGTTGTGACAAGGATAGGAAAACAGTAATTTGGACTGTCTAGGAGAAGTTCTGGAAGACATCACATGAAACAGATCTAGAAAGCAGAAAACAGTGTTCATGTTTTTTCATATAACAGCTGCCACAAAGATGAGCAAAATGGGTTTTCACCATGTACTCCAAATGTGTTGTGGGTGTGAATTAACTACAGTATTCAACTAGACACTGCAGAGTCACTCACTCCCCATGGGGGAAGAGGAAAGGGTGAGTAAAAGGGGAAAAGGGGAAAAAAGGGCAAGGGGAAAAAAATGTTAATAACTGAAGGAGCACTAGAAGATGAGAAAGAAAAAACAAGTGATGCAAAGGTAATCACTCATCTTCCATAGTTAGATCAATATCAAGCTGGTTCCCAAGCAAAATATGGCTAACCAAACTAAAATTCCCCCTTTTACCTTTTTATTTCAGAGCATGTTGTTATATGGCATGGAATATCTCTTTGGTTAGCTCAGGTCATCCACCTGGTCACATCCCCTCCCAACCACCTGCATATCCCCCAGTCTATATACTGGAGGAGCAGGGTGAGAAGCAGACGACCTCAATGCTGGGCCAACACCGTTCAGCAACAGCCAAGCACCAGCATGTTAACAACATTGTTTTGGTCACACATCTAGAACACAAAACCATGTGAGCTTCTGTAAAAGACATTGACTCCATTGACTCCATCCCAGACAGGGCAGCACAAAGTGCCATTATCTAGTGCAAAAAGAGTGCCAACTACATACAGTAAATGCTTCACTTATGTTTGTGATACAGCTGCAAAAACTCACTTTAGAGTCCCATGAGCTGATGACCCTACCCTGAGTTCTTCTTACACTACCAGCAAACATTTTCTTTCCACATATCCTGTTGTGTTGCCCTCCTTGAGGAGGCAGAATGTATTCTTGTCAAGGTTTCGTAGACTTCACTGTTTATCACAGGCTACAAATGGATTAAACTTGCTTTGTGAACATTGTATTGATATTCTGGAGCTCTCCCAGTCTCTTGTGAAATGTATTTCCCTTTTCTCCTCTGCAAACAATATCACAGTAAGTAGTGATCTCATTTAGGTTGTGCTTTGCATTGGTTGCAGAGATATCCACCTCCTAAACACTAACTGTATTAATTTACTGCTGGTATCCCTTAAAACATGGGTGTCTTACTGTTCACAAGGCAGGATGGGTGATAAAAAGGGCTGTGTGGCCAGGAAAATGCCAGGCTGTTTTGATGGATGATGGGAAGAAGTCTGGGAGTGGGCTTAAGCACCAGGGCTAAGAGGCAAGGAGCTAGCAGAAACTGTTTCCACCATCCGCAATGCAAGAGTCAAGGATTGAGTAGGGGCTGGAGGGAAGGCTGGAACCCCCTGCCAAGCTAAGCAAAAACATTGGCAGGTCCCAGCAGAGTGGGAAGAAACAGTTGGGAATGGTTTTGGCTTTTATATCTGACAGGAGTTTCTGATAGCTTGTTCCTCTGCATTAAACTGAATCATCCTCAGTGCAGCTCTGGAAGCCTGAAAGGCTTTGAACTCACTAAACTTTCCAAGGAAGTGCTTCTCCATCTTTGCACTGCTCCTCAATTGACATATCCCAAGTTTATCTTTTGATATAAATTCATTCCAGCATCAAACCAATAAAGGAAGAAATGCCACAACTTCAAAATTGAGCGTGAGCTGTACTAAGCACTCGGGATACTTGTTCTGAGCGCTGTGAGTTTTTGGGGATTGCAGAATGGGATTTTCAATCTCCTGAGATTTAGCTTTCCAATTACCTTTAAGTATTTTTCCCACTTGTCCTGGGTAGGAAGCAGATGTCTTGTGACAAAGGAGTAATAGTGGTTTGTGTCTCATTGAGGATGACAACAGTCACTATGAGGTCAGCTGTAGGAAAATGTACTAGGAAGAAAGAAAAGTGAGAACTACTGTTTAGCAGCTTAGAAGGTTGCTTCCAACTGTCATTGATGTGAAGGGTCCTGACCAAGGCTAACTAATGCAAAATTATGTGATCCATTGAATTAATGGGGAATTAGAACTGTCCAGGCGCTGGGCTTCAGGTATTTGTCTAAATACCCTCTCCAGTTAACAGAAAAGGGTAATTTTAACTCTACAAGAGTCATCTTCCTGTTACATAAAACACTACCTTTGATATGGATGAATTTCCTTCTGAAATTCACTGTATGTTGACTCTCAAGGGAACAAAATCAGCAACTTAGACTGAATTCCTTACTTTGAGAGGGATGAAGCTAAAGGAATTGAATATTTTCCTCTAGAGCTTGCTGAGGTACACAAAAGTCAACCAAATGAATCTGTATCTGCCAATTTTCCCATCTTTGGCACAAATCCAACTGCTTTATTAGCGATCTTTCATATTC